AAAGCTTCTTGGCCAGCTTCTCCATGATCGGCCGGAGTGACGAGGTGGACGGCTTCCGGAGCGAGAGAGGGATGCCCAAGTAGGTGATAGGGAAGTCCATGACGGTGCAGGCCAGCTCGCACGCAATGGAGGCGCGCGTGGGGTCGTCGCAGCGGATCGGGGTTGCCGAGCACTTGGCAAAGTTCGTGCATAGCCCGGACGCCTCGCCAAAGACATGGAGCAGCTCCCGAATGACCCGGAGATCGCGGGTTGACGGGTGGCAGAAGATGATCATGTCGTCGGCATAAAGGGAAATGCTCGAAGAGGCGTGCCGAGTGGTGAGCCGCTGAAGGAGGCCGCTGCGGTGGGCATGGAGGAGGAGGGAGTTGAGAGCATCAATGGCAATCGTAAACAGCATTGGGGACACAGGATCGCCTTGTCGCAGTCCGCAAGCGTGGGCGATGGGGGGGCCGGGGGATCCATTGATGAGGACGCGCGTGCTGGATGTGGAGAATAAGATGGTAATCCACTCGATCCACCGACGACCAAAGCCCAGGTGGCGTAGCACGTCGAGGAGGAAAGCCCAAGAGACCGTGTCAAACATGCATGCAATGTCGAGCTTGAGGAGGACGCGGGGCACACGGAGGATGTGGAGCTGGCGGGCGGTCTGTTGGACGAGCATAAAGTTGTCGTGCACACACCGCCCGGCGATGAATGCACTTTGGTTGGTGGAGACGAGCTGGCCCAGGCGAGGAGCGAGGCGTAGGGAGAGGACTTTCGCGATGAGCTTCGCGATCAGGTGGATTAGGCTGATGGGGCGGTAATCCGAGAGAGAGGCGGCGTCCGGCTTCTTAGGGATCAACGTGATAAGGGCTTCATTGAGGCGCTGGAGGCTGCGCCCGTTCATGGAGTAGAACTTGTTGAACACCTCGCAAATATCGACTTTGATCGTATCCCAGCATGCCACAAGGAACTCAGCCGTGAATCCATCGGGGCCCGGGGCTTTTCCACGGGGGAGCACCTTGACCGCGGTCCAGATTTCCTCCTCGGAAAAAGGAAGCTCGAGCTCCTCTAGGTTGAAGGAGCGGTCGTCAATTTGTCTCAAGTCGAGGGAGAAATCACGGAGCCTTGGAGTGCCGAGGAGCGAGGAGAAGTGGTGGTAGGCCGCCTTGGCCATGTCCTGCTCATCGGTGATCAAAGATCCCTCGTGCTGAAGGGAGAGGATGCGGTTCTTCTAGCGCCTGTGGGCCGCGTGGATTTTGAAGAAGGCGGTGTTAGTCTCGCCCTCCTTCAGCCATCCAAACCGCGCCCGCTCGCGGGCGATGGATCTGTCGAGCGAGGCTAAACCAAGGTAGGCGCGCTTCAGATTGCGTCGAAGCCAGATCTCAGAGGGGGAGAGAGCCCGAGTGTCCTGGGCCGCATCGAGGCGGGCGGTGAGCTCCCGCGCAATCATAAGTTGCAGGGAGACGTGGCCATGAGTGCGTGCACCCCAGCTCTGGAGGCGGCGAGCCGTGGTCTTGAGGCGGAGGTAAACGCGCCGGAAGGGGTCTGGGTCGTGGACAGAGCTCCAAGCAGCCGCCACCGTGTCCTGAAAGCCTTCAAGCCTAATCCAAAACCGCTCAAAGTGGAAGCGCCTCGGGCCAGCCGAGCTCGGAGTACAGTCAAGAAAAAGCGGGCAGTGGTCAGACACCGTCGAGGCAAGGCAGCGGAGGATGGCATGCGGCTGCGCGAGATCCCACTCCGAGGTGCAAAGAAAGCAGTCGTTGCGCACAAGCGTGGGCGAGTCTCGCTCGTTGGACCAAGTGTAACGGCGGCTATGCATGTAGACGTCGCGCAACTCCATATCGGCAATGAAGCGACGGAATCTGTTGGAGGTGCGTCTATTGATCCGACCGTTGCTTTTGTCACTGGAGGAGGAGACGAGGTTGAAGTCACCGCCTAGGAGCCAGGGGCCAGCGCAAGAGTCGCGGGTATCTTGCAAGTCTTTGAGGAACATGATCTTATCATCATCGTCCTGCGGGCCATAGACCCCGGTGATCCACCAAGGATGCGCGCCCGAGGTGGTAAAACGAGGGCCGTGATGTGGTGCTGACCAATGTATGGGCTGGAGATAGCGATCTCGTTACAGTTCCAAGCAAGGAGGATGCCGCCACGGGTGCCGGAGGCCGGGAGGAAGAAGAAATACAGGAAGGAAGAGCCTAGCGTCTCCACCACAAGGGGCAACGTGATGAATCGAGCTTCTTTTCTTGAAGGCATACAATGTTCGGTGAAACCGAGGAAATTACAGATCGGACCGCGGTGCGCTTAGCCTTGGAATGAAGGCCACGGATGTTCCAGAACACAGTCTTAAGGGTGCACTCCATAAGGGAAGGATGGAGGCCGAGGGGAAGGGGCACGGCAGAACTAGTTGGCGGCAATGTCGCACTGGACAGGGAGAGAGCCGGTGGGAAGGTGCCATCCGTAGTAGTCCGCAAAGGCTTGCACGACGTCCTCGGCCAGCGGCTGCTCGAAAAGCTTGCTGTAGCGCTCGATGGCCGAGGAGGAGAGTGGCTCGTTCTCGCGGATGATGCCGAGCCGCAGCAGAAGCACCCGCTTAGCCTTAGCCTCCGAGTCGATACCCCGGTCGGCCTTGGTGATGCGGTGGCTGCATCTGGGAGTGAAGTTTGGGGGCAATTCCTTCCTTCTTCGCTTGGGGCCTGGAGTAGGTAGCACGGGCGTCGATCGCAGCAGGATTCCTGCCACAAAGTTTTGGACTTCACGGGCCTGGGCAGCCGAAGCGTTATCCGCATGGCCAGGAGACGCCAGGGCGCTAGGGGACTGGACACGTGGAGAGAAAGGTGTGGCGGAGGCCGAAAGCTGGCTGGGGGATCGTGGTGGGGTCGCCAGGGGTGGTGGAGCCGGTGCTGCGGCTCGGGGGGCAGGAGACCGCGGGCCAGAGGCAGGGGATGCCTCGGGATCAGGTCCATCTTGTCGCCGTCTCAGAGGGGATTGGGCAGCGTCCACGAGAGGAACGGACGGGGCACCGGCCGGTTCCACCAGAGTGTATCCACCAATACGGGGCGAGCGCGGGGATCCGGGAGCCTCGGCGGTGGGGTCTGAGGGTGTCCCACTCAGCATCTACGCCTGGTGGGGCCGCCATGTCAGCAGCAGAGGCGCGGGGGCCAGGCGTAGAGGCGCGGTCGTGGTTGGCGGACTTGTCTCCATGCGCGGACCGCAGTCAAGGCGGCTTTGCCGAAAGGTGGGGCGGCTTTTTCCTTGGGCCCGGGCAGGTGCGTCAGCGGGCAACGGGTGGGATCCAAGGATCCCATGCCAGTCGCGGGGTGGCGGAGGAGGGCGCCGGTGGCGATGGCGCACGCCGGTGCCGGAGGTGCCGCCGTCGCGGCCGGGTGGCGGCCGCGCGTCACCGCAGTTCCCGGAGCGACGCGGGAAATCATAGTGACGTGGCCATGGACCGGGACACGGCGGCGCCGGAGGGGCGTCGAAGGGGGCGGAGTCGTCCGCAGGAGGTGGGGGCGGCGGGGCCGGGGCCGGCAGGCGGAAATCGGTGGAGCGGGCCACGTGGATCGTTACTGGGTAGCGCAGAACCTCCAAAGCGAACCTCTCGGCGACGTCCGGGTTGGCGCCGGCGATCATGGCATCGTTCTCCGGGAGGTAGAGGTCGGAGGAGCGCGGGATCCCGTCCGGGTTGGGAGTCTAGGCCGAAACTCTGAAGACGGACATATCAGAGCCGTCGCGAGTCTTCGGAGCGAGCTCGTCGACTTTGCAGAACGGAGCCAGCAGAGTCACGGCGGAGGAGAGGTGCCAGCCGTGGTCGGGGATGCCGGAGATTTCGAGATCCACCTTAAAACGCAGGGAGACGGCCTGGGCGCCATCGGAGCGACTCCAGGGGCGCAAGAGGAGGCGGAAACGCGGGCCGCGGGCCACGCCCGCCGACGCTCGTGAACGGTCCTCCATCCTCTGGAACCGGAGCAAGAACTGCGCCGGCCCATGGCGATGCACCGAGAACATGTCCGCGGGGATGTCGAACCGCCCGCTGATGAGTCCCATGACGTCGGCGCAGGAGACGAGTCCGGCGACCAGCTACGGTGGCGAGCAGGGCGCGCTGGAGACTGGCCTCCGCGGCCTCAACCTCGGCAGAACGGGGCAGGAAGCAGTTGGCACCGACCGACCGGAGTGCAGGGTGCCCAGACATGACAGTGGGCGTGCCCGACGAGGAGGAGGGGGCCGGGCTCGAGGAGGGTGGCGGGGACGGCCGCGGGGAGTGTGCCGGAGACGGCAAGGGGGAAGCCCGTCCGGAGGACGCGGTGGGGCTTGACCCGCCCGAAACCGTCGACGGAAGGGAGGTGCGAGGTCGCTTCGCAAGGATCTGGGCGGGGAGGCGCTCGCGGGGCGCGGTGCAGTCGCGCGCCATATGGCCGTAGAAACGGCATCTCCGGCACCGGATGTCGCGGCGGCACTCCTCAAGCAGGTGGCTTCGGGACCTTGAGAGGCAGCGGGGGCACTCGTCGCTCGCCGAGGACGTAGAGCGGGGGCGCGCAGGCCCGGCAGGACGGCGCGCGCGAGGGCGGCGTGGGCGCTTCCGGCGCTGGCGCCCGGCAACGCTCCAGGGGGCCTCCGGCGTGGGGTCGCCGCGGTGGACCTCCGACCGAAGCCCGGAAAGACGCGGGGCGGTGGAGTCAAGCGGCGTACCACCACCGGAGGGGGAGCAGATGGGGAGGCGAGCAAGGCGTCCCGGTACGACGCGGCGGTCGAACCAGATCCAGCCGAGGAGGGGCTGGACTCCAGCCAGCGTGGCGTGGGGTGCAGGCCCCCCGGAGGAGGGGGGGGGGAGGCGTCCATGGGACGGGGAGTGGGCCGCCGGGGCCGGAGTGGCAGCCGGCAGTGGAGGCAAGGCGTGGCCGCCGGGGCCGGAGTGGCCTCCGGCGCAGCAGGGAGCGGGGGAGCGGCGAGCGGCCGTTTCATAATGTCATCACTGCATCTAATCTGTTTATTAATTATTACCCCATTTTTTTCATCAGATAATGTCAAATGATAAGTACAAGAGCGTCGAACACAGGGTGGTGATGAATTCACGTGAGGAAGCTAGAGTTTCAATTGCTGTCTTCTTCAATCCTGGAAAGCGAGGGGAATCAGTTCTGTATGGGCCGTTGCCAGGGCTGGTTTCTACAGAAAACCCACCAAAGTACAGGCGTTTCACGATGTTTGAGTTTTTGGGGGCCTTCTTCAAACGTGACCTTGCCAGCAAAGCTCTACTTGAGCACTTCAAACTGTAAGATGAATCAAACGTCCCCCCCGCAAAAAAAAAAAGAGAATCAAACGTCACCAAACAATGTTTAAGCTTGTGTACGTGTAAGTATGACAGTATGTAGCCATCTCAGGGCCAGTGTTGTTCTGTGAGAATGCGCTACAGTTATTCTACCTTTACACAGTGCACGCTTCTGTCTGTTTCATTGTTTCTCCATAGCCCATCCCAAATTAAATGCTAGTTTTACGTTTCATTGTGTAACCATCACATGTTTCAGGCATGTAACTATCAAGTGGACCAAAAATGTACACTGTATGTTGTACTCCCTCCATTTCTAAATATTTGTATTTCTATAGATTTCAATAAATGACTACATACGGAGCAAAATGAGTGAATCCACACTCTAAAATATGTCTATATACATCTGTATGTGGTAATCCATTTGAAGTCTCTAGAAAGACATATATTTAGGAACGGAGGGAGTATATTTTTTCTGCAACTACCATCACTTGACCAACTGGCCTGAGAAAGTACTCCTTCCATCCGAAAATACTTGTCATTGAAATGGATGTATCTAGATGTATTTTAGTTTTAGATACATCCATTTTCAACCATTTTGATGACAAGTAATTCCGGACGGAGGGAGTATGCTGTACATATTTTTGTATCTGCCATCCCCTAAAAGAGCAAAAGGATAACTCGGCATCTTGACGCACATGTTAATTTCTACTCACTATACTAGTTGCTGGATTAGTAAAACCGTCATGGACCACTTACGGAACTAACAAGAAAAAACAACCTGGGTGCTGCGGAATGGTCTCGGCATTTGAGTGTTTTGTTTCAGAACAATGGAGCGATGATGCCATCCAAGTTTAAAAGAAACGGCCTAGCAATATAATGCATGTTTTACATTTACAGGACAATTAACTTGTTCGGAAGGTCAGAAAGATTCCTAATACATTACTCCCTCTGTTTTTATTTAGTCTGTATATTAGATTTAACTGAAATCAAACTTTGCAAAGTTTGACTGAGCTTATAGAAAATAATATAAACATTTACCATAACAAATCTATAAAATGTGAAAGTACATTCAATATGAATCTAATGAAATTGATTAGTTATTGTAGATGTTAATATTTTTGGCTCTAAACTTTGTCAAAGTTTACAAAGTCTGACTTTGACCAAAACTAATACGCGGAGTAAATAAAAACCGAGAGGTACATAGATCAGTAAACAATGCCCAAATAACAGCGCATGCCACATGTCTCGAGGTGATATCTGACGAAAAATAGGAGTATATTCACGGTTCCATGCAGTGGCGGAGGGCTCCGGTGGGCAGGGTATGGCATCCGCCATACCTTGATTCTGGGGCAATTTTTTTTTATACCTATGCATCTATCGATCGGCAGACTCTGGATCGGCATCGGCTGTTTCGATCGACCGCAGCCAGCAGCGCTGGCCTGATGGGCCAACGCATCCAGCTGTTGGGCCACGCAGGCAGGCACGACAGGTTCGATTCGATTGAGAGTGTCTAAAAAAAGGTTTGATTCGATCGAGCGGCCACACACACAACGCACACGCACGCACGCGACCAACTCTACCCAGACGCGACGCAACCCTAAGCAGCTAGCGCGATGGCGGCTGCTGGCCATGTCGCGAGGACCAGGCGGGCGACTGATGACGGGGGCAGCTGACGGCGGCGGCAGGCTGGGGGCTTAGAGGGCTGCCGCAGCAAGCTCCAGCGAAGGAAGCAAGCGGCGGCTTCAGTGGCGGTAGAAGCAAGTTCCAGCAGACGATGGCAGTTGGGAATTTTCCTGGTCATTCCCCGGTGTACGAACCAGAGGACTAATTGCAGCCACTTTGTTGGGTATTGGCAAATTTTCTTCTGTCAATTCTGCAGGATCTAAAGTAACTACAGTAATTCTGAACATAATGGATAAAAATTTATGTAGCAACCTTGTACAATATGGTGGAAAGTTTGTCTATATTTTTTCATTCATGCTAGTGTACTGTGGACGCACAAGTTTTTGTTTTTAGATGATTATGCATAAAAGCTAATAAGATGCCCAACCAGCGCAGTTCTAGACGCCATTGAAATCTTCATTATTGGTTTGTTTTAGATTATTTTCCTATTGAAATATGCCTACATTTTCATTGTATTGGGGTTTCCGTTTGTAATGTGTATTGACTCTTTTGATTTGCATCAAATTTTTTTTCCTTAAAACTTCACCACACCTTAAAAAAAAATTCGTCCTCCGCCTCTGGTTCCATGGTTCTCCTAAACATTATTCATCAGTGTTTATATGTATCTTAGCTGTTTTCCATTATCCCAGCAAGTACCGTTTGATCCACGGGTGATGCCTTGATGATGGTCTTTCCCTTGTCCACGATCAGAGGGTGTAGCATGGCAAGCCACAGCCCTATGCATTAATTTGAGTGTTTTTTTTTTGCGAGGAATTTGAGGGTTAATTGTATCATTTTTAATCGCTGCTTACCTTATTTTCAGTCCTCACCTTATGATCGTACATCGCGTCCAGCATGTGAGGAAGGACGGCATTTTGGTTCACTGTATCCCGTGTGTTACTTGTGCAGGATTAGTGCTCCGTGGAGCTTTACTGTGGGTTCACTTTAGTTACACTTCGTACTACGACAATCTCTGCAGCCATTCTCTGTTCTCAACACTAATCTTGCGTACTGGTTGCTTAGCATGCACCCGGATTATGGATTGATCAACCTATAATTAATCTTCTGAAACCTCTACACTCCATATGAACATTGTACCTAAAACCTCTTGTTTATTTTCAATCATTTTTAGTTCCTGGTAAAAAATGGCTTCTTGGCGTCATCTTGAAGTCAAATTTTGCATCAGAAAGTCAACCTCAAGAGAGCATAGCTACCCCGCTGACTTCCTGCCCATGACCTCTTCTATATAAAGGGTGACCCTTGAGAGACATTCCCTCCACACAACAACCACATCCTTCAGCTCCCTGCTAATCAAGAGCAACGAGCCAATAAGCCAACCACCTGCATCTGCATTACTTCTCGTCTCCACAATGGCGAACGCCACCCTGCTTCTCCTCATCACGGTGCTGGCCACGACCAGCGGCATTGCCTCAGCCACGGCAGGCGCCAGCGTGAGCACCGGGCCGCCGGCAAGGAGGAGCCGTTTCCTGCTTGTTGGCGGCGCTGCCCACCTGCCTCTGTCGGCGTACGAGTGCTCGAAGAAGTCGGCCGAAGCATGCCTCGCGACGGGGACGACGTGCTGCAGCGGCCAGTGCGTGGACACCGTCGCCAGCGCCCAGCACTGCGGCGGCTGCAACAAGGCGTGCAAGCATGGCCGGACGTGTTGTGGCGGGCACTGTGTGGATCTGCTCTCTGACAAGAAGAACTGCGGCACCTGCTCTAACCGATGCAACGACAAGTGCAGCTACGGCTTCTGTGACTACGCGCAGTAATCTGAGTTCCAACACTATTGTCTGCCGTCAAAAGTCTTTGCTGAAGATCGGCGCTACATAATACATATAGCTGTTAGCGCCGCCTCCTCACAGCGCCGCTTCTTCTTCCTCCTCACAACTCTCTCTTGTGGTTTCTCTCTATCTTCTCTCAAGAACACACTCACACACACATATACACCAAGGAGAAAACCAGTGCTGTTTTGCACGACAAGCTCTCCTCCTTGATGAACACAAGAGACTACATTTTCCTACAGCCCTCACGGCCTCTCTCTATTACTAAATCAGATGACTATTTATACAAAGTTTGGCACTCAGCCAAGACCCACACTCACGCCATACTCCACTAACTCCACTAAACTCTCCATGCACTAACCACTAGCTAACACAACGGCCACTAACTTGACTCGGCCAAATCACTTGGCTGGCCACTCACATGATCCTACATGCATGGAAACTAAACACTTTTGTGCTGACCGAATCACTCGATCCACTCCTCGGTAACTACCTACGACTCAACCAAGCTAGCTACATGCAGACGCAGCCACTAATTATGTTCTAACAAAATGACAAGATTAATATCTGACAATCACCACCTTAATCTTGTCACGAGAACTCGTCAACTTGCCAAATCCTCGAAGCAGATCATCTGCAACCTCTTGCCGAGACTTTGCAGCGCCAAGACCACACCACCTTGCCTCACGCTGCAGCTTCACCATGCTGCACCATCGATCTCCACTTGCATGTTCTTCAGCGGCATCACACCACTGGTCACGTATGTCTTGCCGCCGTCGTCGCAGCAGATCATCTTGGGGATGGCGTCACACCACCCAGAACACCACCACCGGCTAGCTTCACATCTATCCTCATGATGGCCTCGCACGCCGTACATCGATCTTCTCAGCGGCATCTCATCATCGTCTTGTCGGCATCGCACCATCGCCGTGGCAGCATCGCACTGCCATCTCCTCCTAGCGGCATCACACCGCAACCACCTGTTCGCGCGGCATCACACCGGCGAAGACCTCCTTGTCGTGGACGACGCCGTCGCAGCGCCGGACACCACCGTGCACCATCTTGTCGTGGTCGACGCCGTCACAGCGCCCATCACCACATCGTCCTGCCGCACGCAGCAGCCACCTCTTGACGTGGACGGCGCCTTCGCAACGCCGATCACCACGCCATCATCACCTCGCGGCATCGCACCGAAACCGGCCATCAGCGGTACCGCACCGCTGCCAGCCATCACCTCGCACCGACGTCCTCCACCTCACATGGAGTCCACCGCGTCACCACCGTCGCAGCCGTTGCCTCCGCCCAGCACCACAGCGGCCACCATAGCCGCCGGCACCGTCGTCGCCGCCACGGATCAACAAGGCTCTGATACCAATTGTTAGCGCCGCCTCCTCACAGCGCCGCTTCTTCTTCCTCCTCACAACTCTCTCTTGTGGTTTCTCTCTATCTTCTCTCAAGAACACACTCACACACACATATACACCAAGGAGAAAACCAGTGCTGTTTTGCACGACAAGCTCTCCTCCTTGATGAACACAAGAGACTACATTTTCCTACAGCC